CTGTGATTTCTGTGGTGCAGTCTGTGGCCATGGGCATGATATGGGATTTAATTTATGTTTGGGGTGTTCCGATACAAAAAACCCAAGCATTCATGAGGATCAGTGCTTCAGAATCATGTTTTTGGAGAATGCTGTCACCACGAAGCCGTGGATCTGTGATTTTTATGGTGCAAGCTGTGGACGTGGATGTGTTATGTGATTTGATGGTGTGTTTGGGGTGACCCAGTTGAAAAACCCTGAGGATCCATGAGGATCCGTGCTTCAGAACCATGTTTTTGCATTTTTGTGGTGCCACGAATTCGTGGGGGCATGATTTTTGTAGTGCTTCCTATAGTCTAAGACATGGTCTACACTATGATGTTGGTTTTATTTCATTCCAGCGTAGAAATCATATGAATTCATGAGGATCCATCCTCTGGAATCATGTTTTTGCGCTGTTGTGGTGCCACAAATCTGTGGGAGCGTGATTTTTGTAGTGCCTCCTATAGACTAACACATGGCCTACAATATGATGGTGGTTTTATATCGTTTCAATGTAAAAACCATATGAATTCATGAGGATCCATGTAGATCTGACTTTTACCCTTTTCCCATCCCAGACATAAGCGGCTGTTTTTGTTTTTTACTGTACATGCAAAATTATTAAAGAAATGCTAGCGAATGTGTAAAGGCTTCATCTGGTACTCTTTTCACACACTCAAGTTACTTCCTGATTCGAAGTATGGGCAAGCGAATGCTTTGTGGCTTCACCTTCTCCTACTGAGCATGCCCAAATGAAACTTGCTCAGCAGTACTAGTAAGCAGGTTCTAGAGGAGACCAGAAAGGGAATCGGGTTGTGTGCGGGTGTATGATTAAGAAAAGAACGAAGCCCAGCCATGACTAATTTCCCTTTCCCACACAAAAACGTATTCTGGGTGCCGGAACTGATCGTTTCCAGCTGCTAGGAAAACCCGGATGGTTTGGGGGCAAGGATCGGCGACGCTCAGTCCGCAGAGGTCGCTTCCTCCTGTAGTCTCCGGTTGCTTCCTTGGCCTTTCTCCCGTTCTACGAGGTGCGCCTCGCCTCTCCCTTCTTTCCCAGCGATGCAGCCCTACATGGTTAACATCAAGCTGTCAGCTCGGACACTCACTGGGGCACTCAGCCCTCAGAACCGGGGAGCGGCGGATTGGTGAGTGGAGAAGGGATATGGGCGACGGGAGGCCACCTACACCCTGGCCGAGAAGAGTGCCTTTGGGGTGCGAGCCTGCGCGGCCGGCTGGGAGGGCGGGCCGGTGTTGTGTTTGGCACCATCCTAATGCAGTGAATAGAAGGCTGAAGGGATGTGTGGTGTGCCTGATCTGGTAGTGAGGGGAACTTTATAGCACTGCTCGAGGGGCATGCTAGGGAAAGGGGATTCGGGGTTTATTGGGGTGAGGAGTGGTGGCTGGTTAGATCGTACAGTGATGTGGATACAAAACAGGAGGGAGAGAAAGAAGACAAGTCGGGTATGGAACGCTAGAAGCCGTGCAGGATCAGATTAGTAGCCTGTCTAGTTCAGCCTCGTATTTCACAAAGTGAAATTGCAGGAGTTCAAGGGAGTCCATCTGTCAGTTTTTATCCTGCCCTTAGTCTGGGTGGCACACATGGCCTCCCCATCTCTTGGTTCGTCTTCACAGCAATTCAGTGAGATAGTTTAGCCTGAGAAACTGTGGCTTGCCTAATAACACTCATTGGCATCATAGCAGAGTGGGGAATTTGAAGCTCTTTCAACATACTGGCTTGTGCCAGCTACTGCTTGATGCCCCTCAAAAGCTGGCATACTACCTCTGAACATGGAAGTCTCATCCAGCCACAGTGCCTAATAGCCAAGAGTGTGTTCCATTCCCTTTTAAAACCATCTAAGCTACTGGCCATCACCACATCCTGTGGCAATGAGTTCCACAAGTTAATTAAATGTTGGGTGAATTACTTTATTTTATCTTTTCTTAATTAGTTTAACAGGGTGATATCTGTCTAAGGGAGGAAAGGCTCACCTTATTCACTGTCCCCATACCCAGGCATAATTGTGTAAACCTGAATCATGTCTGCACTTGGGTTGTTTTGTTTAATCCTCAATGGGAAGATGTTTCAAACCCTTAATTATTTTGGTTGCCCCCTTTGCAGGGATGTACTAAAAGGAAGGACAGGATTGCCCATTGGAAACAATGGAAAACACTTGAAGGCCAGGAATACCAATTGACTTGCATGGGCTTCCATTGAAATATATTACAGTACAAGTGGAGTTGCAATAAAAATGCAGAATGGATTTTCCATTAGGGTCTCTGGGCCCAAATAGACTACTCTGGGACTGGAATGACAGGTCCCAGCTTGGAATGACAGCCCCCTAAAAGTAACAGAAGTCTTCTGGTACTGGGATGAGAGGCCCCAGAGTGGAATGACAGCCCCAGGGGGTAGCAGAAGCGTTCTGGGACTGGAATGAGAGACCATGGAGTGGAATAACAGCCCCTGGGGGTAGTAGGAGTGTTCTGGAACTGCAATGACAGGCCCCAGAGTGGAATGACAGCCCCTGGGGGTAGCAGGAGCGTTCTGGAACTGGAATGACAGGCCCCAGAGCGGAATGACAGTGCCTGGGGGTAGCAGATGTGTTCAGGAATTGGAATGACAGGCCCTAGAGTGGAATGACAGCCACTGGGGGTAGCAGGAGTGTTCAAGGACTGGAATGAGAGACCACAGAGTGGAATGACAGTCCCTGGGTGTAGCAGGAGTGTTCTGGAACTGGAATGAGAGGCCCCAGAGTAGAATGACAGGTCCCAGAGCAGAATGACTTCTGTTACTCCGTCATTCTAATCTGGGGCCTGTCATTCCGATCCCAGAGTAGTCTATTTGGGCCCAGAGACTACTGGATTCCTAATGGAAAATCCATTCCACATTTTTATTGCAACTCCACTTGTACTGTGGAACCCATGCAAGTTATAATTGTAAATGTTGTTCTAATGTTTTTATGTGTGGTGCCTTCAAGACCCTGGTCAGGTGGGAAAGGAAGCATAAAAATATTTTAAATAAATAAAGTAAATTGAGATCCAGAAAGGGGGATAGAGTTTGTCTGTCTGTCTATTACTGCTCATACACCAATTGCCTTGAGCAGAGAGTAGATGCAATTTGTCAGCATCCCTTCCAACATATTAACAGCTCACGTGAACATTTGGAGAAAAGGCTAAGAAATCACAGCTCTTCTGTATCTCCCATCTATACACAGGACAGGATTTTCCTTTATAAATTCATTTCATTTTTTTTAACCAAACCTCCCCCTCAAAAACAGCTAGCTCAATTCTGCAGTTTGAAATGTTCCCTTGACCAATCTGGCTTTTGACTACTGCCAGGGGCACCTGACCAGGGTCTTGAAGGCACCACACATAAAAACATTAGAACAACATTTACAATTATAAAATAATTCAATAGCAATGCATAAAGAATACCAGAACCAGGGAGGAGGCCAATAACCATTATTTGGGTTATGCTAAACGCAAAAAAAACCCAACAAAAAACAACCACCTTCATTCACTGGCAGAAGACACTGATAGGGGGAGATGGATGAATCTTCCCAGGGAGGGAGTTTGAAAGTTCTAAACTCTATAGAGAGGCTGCTTGGACCCTCCAAAGGTTTGAGAGGAATAATGAAAAAATTGTGGTACAAGATGGAGCAGAGGTCCATCAGTGGCTATTATTAGCCACAAGATATAGATGGAACACTCTGTCTGGGGCAGTGATGCTCTGTATTCTTGGTGCTTGGGGGACAAGGCTGGGAGGGCTTCTGGAATTCTGGCCCCACTGGTGGACCTCCTGATGGCACCTGGGTTTTGGCCACTGTGTGACACCATGTGTTGGACTGAATGGGCCATTGGCCTGATCCAATCTGGCTTCTCTTATGTTCTTATGTCTGGGGCAGTGATGCTCTATATTCTTGGTGCTTGGGGGGGGCAAGACTGGGAGGGCTTCTGGAATTCTGGCCCTGCTGGTGGACCTCCTGATATCACCTGAGTTTTGGCCACTGTGTGACACAGTGTTGGACTGGATGCTCCATTGGCCTGGTCCAACACGGCTTCTTGTGTTCTTATGATATGAAAATAATATTTAGCATTTGTGTTGCACTTAGTGCTTCATATTCTGCTGATATGAGGAAGGATTCAGTTGGTCCATTGCTCAGTGATAGACCATCTGCTTGACATGCAGGAGGTCCCAGCCTCTTCAGCTAAAAAGGATCGGGTAATAGGTGATGTTAAAGATCTCAGCCTGAGACTCTGGAGAGTCGCTGCCAGTCTGAGTAGTCAATACTGATCTTGATGGACCAATGGCCTGATTCAGGATTAGGCAACTTCATGACTTCATGTGTTCAACATGTGTTCATGAGGAAGATTCAGGTATTGACTTGGGGGAGCTGGCCAAAGGCTTGGCTATAAACCAAATAGGTTTTGATAGGGGTTGGACCCTACCTGGGTTTTAAACAGTCTAGATGGCCATCTGACAGCAATGCTTATTCTGTGAATTTAGGCAGATCATGAAAAGGAGGGCAGAAAGGGTTGCTTAAGTGCTAAATGGCCCTTTCTTACATGCCCAGGGAAATGCTGATCACCCCTTCGGGGTCAGGAAGCAGTTTTCTCCAGGCCAATTTGGCCAGGGATCCTGGAGCCCCCCCCTCTTCTGGGCATAGAGCAGGGGTCACTGGGGTGTGAAGGGGAGGTATTTGTAAATTTCCTGCATTGTGCAGGGGGTTGGATGACCCTGGAGGTCCCTTCCAGCTCCATGATTCTATACATCCATGCAAGATGTACATATGTTCACTGTAATATGTGAACAGGGCTTCTGTTTCCCTGGGTGCTGAGCAGGAAGAGAGGGGAATGGCAACAGATATGTTCTTGATATGTACACCATCCAGCCAGAACACTTAACACTTAACTCATGTTTGTGCCAGACAGTGTTATCCTGATTGGCAATTTTGCATACAAGTTCTCTGCTATCACATTGCTGGCTTATTGGCCTGGGAAGGATCCTTATATTTCATAAACTTCAGTACTCCTTGCATAAGCCAATACAGCTATTTGGAATTATTTTGCTCATAACAACAGGCAAAGCTTATTTTGTACCCACTTGAAGAAGGCAGTGTATGTGTAGGGA